ACCCTTCTCCACCCTGCTTTCTGAGGCTGGAGGCTGGCCTGAAAGTACTAAATCAGCTCCTGGCTGATGGGGCTCCCAGCAAAGAAGGCATGTGAAGGGAGGGTATTTACTCTGCTGGTGGTCTCCCTGCAGGATCATTTAAAGCTGGCTGTGTCCCTTCATTAAAGGTGATCTTCTTTATAAAACTTTTTTGAGTTCCTCTTTCTGGGTTGGTTAAGTGACCTCTCACAAGTCCCTTCAGACCAAAGAGTAATAGCCCAGGGTATTGAGGTGTTCTTGTCCCTTTAACAACTTATTTGGACTATCTTAATTTGAGCAAGCCATCTGTTTCCTGTTTTCCGCTAGGATGTGTCTGACTTACTCTACATGCTCCTACTAAATGTAACCAGATTGTCACAAAACTGGAGTTATAACTACTTGCCTTATTGATACTGATAGTTGAAGGGTCCAGAGCACACTGGCATGGCTCGCTCTGCTCACCTCTAATATTCACCACAGTATCGCTCAGTTAATTCATAATTCTCTGTCAGAATGAAAGAGAACCTTCACTAAACCAGGATAACATTCATCTTCAACGGCTTATGAACTAAAAGAGTTTGCATTGCTTTCCTTTAAAGCTCAGATTTTTAACTCATAAAAATTTTTACGTTAGATAAGTATCTGTGCCAGAGCTATTTGAATAATAGCATGAATAGATGGCATGAGAGATAAATGTGTATTTTTCCTTGGTGAATGTTCAGTGCCTAACAGGCTATGGATAAAGTAGTAACTCTGGTAATCACAACTTGAAAAAAAAAAAAGCCAACTTCTCTGAGTGCTCTAGTTATTCCATATCTGTAAGACACCCTCCTGTAGAAACTGAAGTAATTCTTCCAAGCCTTTAGTGGAGCATTATTTGGAAAGTTACTTTCTGGGCATGCTTAATCTAAGTTTTCATTTTATAGGGAAAATGCTTTTTAGTATTAAGGACATACTAAAGGGATCAAGGCATACTAGCATTGCTAGATTAATTATTTCCTTTTAGAAAGAATGCTTGAAATGGATAAAAAGAAGCAACTGAAGATATCTCAAGTGTTAATTCATTATGCCATTTTCTTGATATGGTTCTTCTTCTGATTACCAGTTGGACTTGTTTTGCTCTTACAGAAGAGAGGGCTTGGATTAGCAAGTGAAAAAAAGACGTAAAGGGCTGAGTCAAGGCCAAGGAAAACTTGGCTTCCTCACTGTGTGTTGGGCGATCTTCTCTTCTCACTCTTTCCTTTCCTTACTAAATCTCATCCATTTCCATGTCTCCAATTACCACTTATTACAGATGACTCCCAAAATAAATCTCAGCACAGACCTATCTGAGCTCTAGACCCATAAATACAACTATCTTCTTGGCATTGCCAAGTGGAGAGATCTCAAAATACCTCAAATTCACAGCCTTCATTCCCCCAACTCAGGTTTGCTTCTCTTTCTGTGTTCTCTGTCGCCAGACACCAAGGGGTCACCCTTGACACATCATTATCCTAATCCCCTCATCACTCTTCATCCACTTTCTCCCCAAAGTATATCTCAAACACATCCACTCTGTCCTCTGGGTTCAACACCCTAGTCCTGCTGCCATGACCTCTTGCTCTTGCCCAGGCAACAGTAGTCACCTCCTTACTGGTTTCTCAATATCTACTCTTTCTATTTTTCCAATTAGTTCTCATACTCAAGTGATTGTTTTGAAATGTAACTATGTAACTATGTTCCTGTTACACACACAAACACACACACACACACACGCAGCTTTTCTCCTTCATTTGCACTCAATGATTTCCTTTTATTCTTATCATAAAAATAAAAAAAAAATTTAATGTGGCTTATAAATTGCTTCATCTTCTGGTCCTGTTCTACTTCTCCAAACGAATCTTACTTCCACTCTACCACTTACTAACTGTGTAACCTTGGGTAAGTTACTTCTCTGTGCCTCAGTTTCTTCATCTGTAAAATGAGAATTATACTAATATTTCCCCTTAGGATTATTGTGAGGATCGATGTAAAGTGCTTAGGACTTACTTAGTAGGTATGTAGCAAATGTTAGCTCTCATTAGCGTATCTTAACTCTTTCAGTCACTCTGAAATGAGAAAGAACCTTCACTCATGAATTTAAGTGATTATGTTTATCTTCAATGGCTTATGAACGAAAAGAGTTTGCTCTGCTTTCCCTCAGGAGTGTTATACATCCTTTCACCATAGGACCTTTGCACAATTTGTTCACTGTAGGTTTTGTGTAGGCACTAATCCCTCCCACATAAACTGACATCATTTCCTCCAGGAAGCCTTCATGATCTCATTTTCTAGATCAAGTCATTCTATTACATACTTTCAGAGCAACAATACCTTTCCTTAATAGCACTTACATGGTTATATTTTTACATTTATTTAGGTAACCACATGACTAATGTCTTTCTCTCTCTCTCAATTGTAAGTCCATGAGACAAGGGAAGATGGGATCATTGTTCTCTTTTAACGTTGTATCCTTAGCCCATAGCATCTTGCCTGGCACTGAATAGTTATTCAATAAGCACAAATTAAATGAGTGGAAAGAATCTCATTGTACCCTGAGAGGACTTCAAGGCAAGGGAGCTCTCTGACATGGTCCACAGCTGCCTTGCCCCCTGCCAGAAAGCAGCACTATGTGAGCAAGAGTGGGTGTTTCTCAAGGAAGCTCTCCTGACCACAGGATGTTGATGATTATCCCCTTCTCTATGTGTACGTCATCCCTAAGAGGACTATTTATAGTAGACATATGGTTCCAGAACTATGCCCCTCAATAAGGCCAAACCTAAATACACAAAACAGTAATATCCATTTGCAGTATCTCTGTAGGAGAGGTTAGCTATTGAAATCTGTCTTGAGCAGGAGATGTCAGACAAGTGGTTGTACTGGCACCTTTGATTGCCTTTTTTTCCAGCCTGGTTCTAGTTTGCTCCCTTTTAACTTGCTCCTTTATAGGCCTACACAAGGGGAAATAATAATAATAGCTCACACTTATTGGGTGTTGGTGTTTGCTATTGCTAGGCAGTATGCTATGCTTTCTCTGTTATTTCACTAATTCCTAATTGGAGAGAAGAAGTCTCTCAGGCAAATGCTATTCGCCTCATTTCACAGTTGAGAGTATGGAAGTTGGGAGATATGAAGAAACCTGCCTACTGTTATAGGGCCGGATTTCGAACCCAGGTAATCTGATGCCATGGCCTGCACCTGTATGTGCTGCATCGCACTGCTTAGCTACAGATAGCGATGTCTTACTGACCTTAACTCATTGGCCTCTCATCCAGTTGGGTAAGCTCCAAAGATCTTTTAAATGATCTTCTTAAACTTCCACACATATTGTGAACTCGAACATCATACACCTTTGGGTCAGATGGCAAAGTTACCCAGATTCACAACAAGATAAATCTTGATCTGTGATATAGGCACTCAATAAATATTTACTGAATGAATAAATGAATCATACCATTTATGCTGCTACACACCCTTTAATTGTATTATGAATATTTTCCCATACAATTTCTCCATAATTCAGAGTCCTCTCCTCTCCAAAAATGATGTGAAGGATTTTCTTCTTAATTTATTCTCTGCAGTCCAGACAATCTGATCGTAACTGCAAAAACTTGATAACCATCCATCAATCCATTCCACAACTATTTATTGACCAAGATACACTGGTATGTCCTGCTTTTGCCTCACTAGAGAATGGACTCATTTTTCTCTGATGACTATGCATCCTGGCGTCCCTTCTGTCTTCTCTCCTGTCATAGTCAGGCCTGTCCAGTGCTTCTCTCTGTGATGGTCCACACAGGCATGCAAGTTTCACCTGTTACTGTTACTATTACTGTTATTACTACTACCCAAACAAGCCCTCCTCTCTCAAGCCTGACCTCCATTCTACTATAACAGGTACCTTGCTGTAGATACCATAGTGACTATTAGAAACCATTTCTATCTAAAGAAAATTCATTGTAATAAAAAGCAGTCCTTTTCTCTTATGATAAAAATGTATTCATTGCATAAATTTTTTTAAAAAAAAAATCCTTATAAGCCCCCAAAATGACTATAATATAGATCACTGCCAGAAGCCGGTCCATCCTTGCTGCTTGAAATGGTATAACAGAGTGAAGTGCTCTCTCTGAGAGGGAAAAAAAAACATCTAGAAAATGCAGTATTTACCTGAAAACAACAGTTCAAACAAGAAGAGATGGAGAGTGTTAAGTGATGAATTTAAGATCCCTGCCCAAACACTAGCACAGAGGCTTGAGAATCAATTTAGATAAGGTCTAGAAAATAAATGTCTTTGCACAGTGTGACTGAATTTTTAAACCCTGCATCAGTGCTAGTTTCATAATTTGTGGGGCCCAGCGCAAAATGAAACGCAGAGATCCTTGTTCAAAAAATAGGAGGGAAAAGGAAATTAAAGGTACTAAAATATAAAACTTTCTTTTCTTCCAAGATCTCTTTTAAAATTTGTCATGGTCTTTTTATTTTCTATTTAATGTTGTTCTAACTAAAGAAAATTAGAATTTTAAGTTATGAGCACAAATTTTACCATTCCTCTTTTAAATTGTGCAATGCCAATTTTAAATGCAAACATAAACTATTAATTCATAAGCAAAAGAATCAAAACTATGTAATTTCTATTTTGTAGCTCTTATATTCATGTGCATTTCATTCTTACCAGAATGGTGGAGACACTGCACAAAACTAACCCAACTGTTTTATTCCACTTCTTTATGCCTGCATGTTCTACGAACACTCTAATTTTAGCCTAAGGATAAGGAAGGACTGAAAGGAAAATGAATTAGGGGTTGCCCTAACTTTCCTTTTCTTTCTATATCACTTTCAGTACCACTTGTTGGCTAATACTGAGAAAAATGAGGCATAAGAAAGGGTCTGATAGGGTTCCTTGCTCATCTGTGTTTCTTTGAATGCCATTGCCTTCTTTCTGGATTGGAAGCCAAGTTCTGGTTCAAACGGAAAGTGTGGCCTCTAGGGGCTGTCAATGTCCTAGTTTACTCAGTCCTGGGTGTAACCTACTTACCTTATCCAAGCTTTGAGCCTCACTGAACTCTCACACACCATGGATCCAATGGAATTTTATGCTTATGGCGGCATCTTGAATACCATATGCAAATAGGGTGGCAAGCAATAGCAGACATATTGCGTGTATCTCCTCTGCTCTCACACATACTCCAGTGTTCCAACAAACTTCACTTACAAAACACAGGTTCAAAGAGAAAATTTGTTAAGGATTTCAAGACAGAGAGAGCAGCACATTAAACTAAGTGCAGGCCTTCTGAAAGGGCCCTAGGCAACTAACTGCACTTGTCACACTCGGTGATGCCGCCCTCCCATCTGTGGGAACCAAACATCTCAAATTCCTTGCTGGTTGTGGAGAGACTGCTCAGTGCACCCCAATAATTCACTCCTTCCCTATAACAGAACTCCAATTTCATTTACGTTCTCCAGCATCTTCTGCAGCTACTATAGCCATGTGAACAAGTTTTGGTTAATCAGACATATGAGAAAGTGTTGTATGGGTTTGGGGAATAGCAACCTCATTCCTCATTTCTAGCTGCCTGGGAACAGAGTTGTGATAATACAACTCCAGTAGTCATCTTGGAACGTGAAGATGTGCTGTTAGGTTTTTGAAGATGACCCGTTAGATTTTTGAAGATGACCTTGAAGGTGGAAGTTAAGTTCCCAAAAGAAACAGATAAAAGGTGCCTGAGTTCCTGCCACAGGAGCCTTGGTTGCTTACCTCAACGACTTTTCAATGTTTGAGAGAAATAAACTTGAATCTTGTTCACCATTATTATTTGACAGTGTCATGACACGCAGGTGAAATTTTCTAACTTACAAGAGAACACTCCACTAGTTCACATTGGCTAACAAATTAAGTTAAACAATGTTTAAATACAAGTCTTGGCCTGTCCTCAATTTGTTACTGGGTGGCATGTTTAGAAGCCCCTGGCTGGAGGGGCAACCATTTCTAAGATTCGGAGGTACTTTTTCTCTTTTTCCCAGTTCAGGACTATATTCTGGAGCTCGGAGGTTGCTGACAGACTCCAGATAAAAGCAGTGCTATAATGAAATGTGTTATGGCAATAATGTAGTAATAATATGACATGTGAATATAACATTTTGTAGTTTCCTAAGTAATTTAAATACCAATATCTCCAATAAGCATGAAAAAGAAAATCATAAAAATCCTTATGGATAATTATAAGACTACATATAGAGAAGAGATGTCAACCATTAATCTGTTGACATAAAAAAAATAGGTTAAGTTGTCTCCTAAGATTAAAGAAAAGAGCTTCACAGACAACAATATGGTGACTGCCAGAGGGAAGAGGAGGTGCGGGAGATAGAAGGTAAAGGGGGGATGAATGGTGATGGAAGGAGACTTGACTTGAGGTGATAAAAACACAATACAATATATAGAATTGTATACCTGAAACCTGTATTATTTTATTAACCATCACCCCAATAAATTCAATTAAAAAAAAGAGAGTTCAAGTTGACTAACACCGCCATCTAGAGTTACAAATCAAAATTACTATTTCTTATCTAGTAATAAGGAGACTGAAAGGTTGGGACTTGAACAGGTCTCTCTCTCTTTTTTTTTTTTCTCACAACTTGTACTGGCTATCCTACCTGTCTTGTCCATTTGTGGAGAGCCGCTGGATGACATCTGCCGTGGCCATCTGGAGGTAATGGGGATGACACATGGAGTGTCCTCATAAAATAATACATGAAGTGCATTCCATTTGCCATTTGTCCAGTCTACGGGCTGTCCTGGCTAAGTAGCACACAGGATGGGCTTTGAACTCAGAAGCGGGGCTAGGAAGAGGGTGGTAGAGAAAAGCAATATAATTACAAGGTCTCTACTCCTCACATGTCTTTCCAGCTGATCCTCAAGGATTGACCTCAGACCTAATTCTTCCCCTTCTGTCTGATTTATTCTTTTCCTCAACCCCATGTGCTCCACAATGACCTTCTATAAGTTCTCCCTCTCTCTCATCCCTTTCCAACATCCTTCTCACCTCGCTTTGAGTCAGTGCTGTTTGGTGGAAAGCAGACAGAGAAGGTTTGAACCTGGGGTCCCCATTTACCTTACCATTTTTCTTTATCACATCACTACGATTTTCTGAGATTCAAGTTATTCATATCTGTATGGAACATGTAATATGGACCTTGCAGGGTGGCTGCAAAGCTTAACTGGGACATGTATGGTAAAAGAAACCAGCATGTGGTGGGTAGTTAGAAAATTTTCTTTTCTTTTCCTTCTCTCATTCTCCTGTCCTCCATAAAACAGTTAGGAAAAATTAGTAAAAAATAAAAAGAAGAAGAAGAAAAATAGGGCTCCTTGCATGAGATTTAGCTATCAATCATCTTCAAAGTGTGATTTCATGGATATGATGACAGTCCATTTTTATTGCTTCCTTTTTTTACCTGAGTGCTCTCTGAGAAAGGGAAGCTCATCAGACATGGTTGCATAGTGGAAAGGAAAGCCATGGGCTGTTGCACTTACTTGTCATTTGAGACCAATCACTTTCACCCTGAGAGCCTGAGTTCTTCATCCCTGAAATGGGGGTGGTATTCCTTCTCATACCCACCTCCTCTAAGCTTAGGTTAAAATAGCTGAAAGGATTTTGTAAAGCCTAAAGTAAATACTAATGTGAGCCATTATTACATTTTCTTTGCTTCATGACTTACCCATAACGGACATTCAGTAAGGATTTTAAAATATATTAACCATGAGTTTTACCTAATTAATTTACCTCATAGTCACTGAGTGCTGATTATCTCCTAAGCATCCATCCCCCACGTCTTCCAGCCAGGCACTCTAGTTAGCATGTTTGGTGTAAGAGACACTTTGCTAGGCTTTGGTGAGGTTATAAAGATGATTAAGGTCCCTCACAAAGTTGGTTGGCAAAGCCAGGACAATATAGCAATACAGAGTGTAATTAGTATCACGCCGGGGAGCGTGTGCAGACTAAGGACATCGTTTGCTGTAGGAGTTCAGAAAGGAGTAATTGATGTGTGGAGTCCACGGCTTCACAGAGATGAGGTATTTGAGACGTTATATTTTTGTAAACAGAATTGGGGGGTGGGGAATTCTAGGCAAAGATACAGAATGACAAAGGCATGGATATAGAAAAAAGCAAGTAGGAAAAGGCAAGTTGTTCATTGTGACTGGTCCCAGTGTGTGTGTGTGTGTGTGTGTGTGTGTGTGTGAGTGAGATACCTGTAATTGTTGGCGAAATGCAGCTGTAAAGATCAGTTAGAAGCAGATCATGGAAGGCCTTAAATTATACACAAAGGATTTTTTTCTGTAGTAATAGGCCTATAATCATTACAGAAAGTATGTGATGTGATCACAACTGTGTTTCCTGCAGATAACTCTTGAATATAAAAGACTAGAGGCCTGGTCGAGCATGGGTGGGGTCCTTGACCTGGTCAGCGATCGAGGCCTATTGGGGGGGTCGGCCAGCGGGGGGGAGGGAGGGAAGGGAGAGGCCATGGGAGGTTAGCCGGCCGGCCCTCTCATCGGGGCCTATCAGGGGGGCCGGCCAGGTGGGGGAAAAGAGGTTGCAGGAGGTTGGCTGTGGGAGCACACTGACCACCAGGGGGCAGATCCTGCATTGAGCATCTTCCCCCTGGTGGTCAGTGCGCATCATAGTGACTAGTCAACCAGTCATTCCGGTTGTAATGGTCACTTAGGCTTTTATATATATAGTTAGATTAGATATACCAGATATTACAGATGCAGACATGTGAGAGGTTATTGCAAAAGACCTGAACTAGGGTAGGAGTGGCAGAGATATAAAGTGAATAAAAAATGAGCTGCCGCTGATATGAGCCTACATCCTTCAGCAGCTAATTGGTTAGGGGAGGTTTTTCAATGGGGAGGAACTATAAGGTGAACTGGAATTTTCTAGATGGAATAGTTGTGAGGATGTGCCGTTAACCTAAAGAGGACACTAAAGAAGGCATCAGGGACTAAAGAGTGGAAATTAAATAGGCTTTCTAGACAAATTGACTAGCGTTAAAATTCTGCCACCTACGTGCCATGTAACTTCAAACAAGTTACCCAAACTCTTTGAACCTTGATTTCGTACCCCAAAACGGGAATTATATTAATACTTATTCTACATGATTGATGTAGAGGATACACGTTGCTTATCTCCTCAGCAGAATGATCTGCCAGGTGATTGACTCCATCACCTGCATCCACAGTGACTGGCTCAGGCATAGACCTGTGACCCAAACTTGGCCATTGTGGGCATCACGACTAAACTTGCCACCTCGGAGGAGATTCAGGAACCGTGGAGTACACCGTGTGGAGCCTGAAGAGGAAGCCCTCATAGCAAGAGGCAGAGTAAAGGGATACAGAGAAATGGAGTCATTAGGACATTAGGTTATTGTTGGCAGGAAGCAATCCCTGCCAATCAGCCATGCTGACAGACTTTCAATTATGGGACTGACAGAAGAGGCTAAATTATGCTATCAGAGCAATAACACCCTCCTCTCCCCCAAATCTCAGGGCCTGACAGCCACAAAGATTCACTTCTCACATTTGCTACATAGATTAGCTGCAACTCTGCTAAATTACTGTTTTAATCCAGGACCCAGGAAGATGGAGTAATCTCTATCTGGAAACCACCAGTTATTGTAATAGGGGGGCAAGGGTAGGAGAATAAGTACTGGCTCTTAAACCATCTGCCTGGAAGATGCTTCCTGCTTGCACGCCATTAGCCAGAATAAATTCATGTGCTCAAGCTTGATGCCATAGGAAAGAAGGGGGCAGCAAATATTTTTGAAAAATAATAATGATTTATCAGTAAACTTCTTATTAAGCAAGCTTAGGTCATATTTTCTGTCACTTGCAATCAAACCTGTCTTAACTTTAAAAAAGCAGATTAAAGAATTAAATTAGATATTTTATATAAAATTGTCAACACATGGTAAGCATCCAATAAATGGGAGCTACTATTTCCAAGTGCATGAACACAGCTGAATGGATAATTATATCTTTCTCAAGCACTAAAAGTACAATCAATTTATTTAATTTACCTTTTATTCACTTAACTCACTAACACGTGTTGCGTTCTTTTAATGTGGTAGACACCATCCTGTGTGGTAGGGACACAAAATGAGCATAATACATTTACATTGTAGTTCAGTAAAATTTTTTTAAAGAAATAACTTAATACGAGGGCTCAGTGTCTTAGGCTGATAATATCAAATTCTCACTGTTGTGTCTGAGGAAAGTAATACACATTTGGGAACTTTCTATTCAGAAAAGGGTAGATAGTAAATGGTATATTATAAAATGGAGCCAGAAGTATGAATGCTATTCATTTACTTACCACACATCAACCCATTTGCCCAATACATGCCTATTAGTATCTACTATGTGCCAGGCACTCTTAAGAGTGAAAAACATTTATTCTCATCTTGAGAGAACTTAAATTGTAGTAGTAATGAGTTATATTGTAAATCAGAAGATGCCTTAATCAATAAGCCAAATTTATTTGGAGTCCTGTTCATTTTTGCTAGCGCTAGCAGGCCCAGAGGAACTCTTGCTTCTCAAATTCTGGGGCCCAATATGGTGGAAGTCTTTCCTATTTATATGTTTTTCAGCTCTTTGTTTTCCAAATTTGAAATGAGACTTCCGGACCTTCTGAGAAAAAGTCCTGTTTGCTGGGACAGGGCCGTGAGGCCATATCTCAAGGCCTAGCCTGGCGCCAGCACTGACAACTCTGTCTGGAGCATAGTTTATGGCCTCTCTGGATGGGGAGTAGTCTTATGTTCCCTATTATTGAAGCAAGCAAATGTTTACAGAAGCCAGAATAGCAGGGTTAAAATTTTAAACAGGAGTTTTTACCCAAGATGGAGGTTACTATGCTTCAACGAGAAGTGAGCTGAGAGTATATAAAGGATACTATAAAAATAAAACAATACTAGTGATGCTGATGATGGTGAACACTGTCAGTCACCAATGACCCCCATTTTTGCCAAACCTAAAGATCAACTTGCTGGAAAAACAATAGAGTTGATCATTCCCTTCTTCTTCACTTGCTTCTCACACACCAGCCCTCCGGTGTGGATCCATTCTCTGTTATATGCTAGCCGCTACCCCCCCCACCCCCCGGCTCTCAGTCAGCCATCTGGCTTCCAATATTATCTCTGCACGGAGGACTGCCAATAGCAGGGCTCCACCCCGACTTCTCTCCACAACTCTGAGATGGCTTATCTTACTGCCTCATTTTATACCAAGCATCTCTCAGGTATTACCAGACTGGACTCCTGACCCACCAGTCTTAAACTGGCACCTCCCTCAAGGTCCCCCCTCCCAGTAAAGGGCACCACTGTTCACCCACTTGCTCAAGCCAACCTTGCAGAAATCCTAATTCTTTTCCTTCTTTCCTCACATTCCCAATCCAGCAGCAAATCTGTGGACTCTGGCTTTCAACACATCTTGACTGTGATCAGTTCTTCTCTCCTCCCCTCTAGGACATCACTTTAGTGCCAGCGAGCATCATCCTTGTGACCTGGACTCCTGCAGCCACCTCTCCTAACTGGCTTTTCTGCTTCCGTGTCTATTCTCTTATCTTCTACACAGCAGCCGGAATGATTCTTTTAAAACTAAAGTCAGACCATGTCACTTCTCTGTTCAAAACTTCAATTGCTCTCCCTGCAACCTCTGCCCCTTTAGATATGAGCATGATTCATTCCCTCGTTCCACCATTTTATACCTTCTCTGATATCTTACCAAAAACAACAGTTCCTTCTGTCCCCACCCTCTATTCCTTTACTGTTGTATTTTCCTTAATGTTGCCAAGTAACATTAAGTTGTCTGACCTTATGCTAAGTATGTACCTGTTTATAAATAGGAGAACGGAAGCACCATGAGGATTTTGCATTTCTATTGCCAAAAACAGTTGAAGGTTGGCACTCGGAGGCGTTTATGAAAGCACTCTAGGATTATTCTGACTAACACGTTACTAATGAGCTGTGACATCGTCCTGACGTATTAGCTTTACTGTGTTACTGTCCACATTTCAGAGACCTGGTAGGTGAGGCACAGAATCGTCGCCACCTGCCCGAAGTCCCACAGCTCATAAGCGGCTCAGCGAGGATGTCAATCCAGGTGTTTTTCCCTCTCTGCTCCTGAGCGCTTGGCTCTCCGGTTTGAACCCCGAAAGAATGTCTGGGGAGGCGTCCGGATGACGTAGTGCGCCCGGACAGCCCTCTTTGGGGCGAGTGCCACAGGTGGCTGGCCGAGACCAGGGTGGGACTGACCTCCGCTCACTAACCTCTGGGAGCCGGAGGAGACCGGGCAGCTAGACCTGAGCCGGCGGCCAGCGCGGGAGCGGGATGTACTTCTGCGGCGGCCCCGGCCCCGGCCCCGGCCCCGGGAGGCTGCAGCGCCGGGAACCCTCGGGCAGAGCCGAGCTGCGGCAGGCGGCCAGCGGGGAGCGCCACTCGCTGCTGCTGCTGGGCGACGGCACGGTCCACGCGTGCGGGGACAACAGCCGCGGCCAGCTGGGCCGGAGGGGCGCGCCGCGCGGGGACGGGCCAGGTGAGCGCGGGACACAGGTGCAGGTGCGGGCGCGGCGCCGGCAGGTGGGGCCCGGGAGCCCTGGGTCCTCTGGGCAGGAGCCTGCAAAGGGCGCCCCGCGCCGGCTGGGTGCAACTTCGTCAGTTTCGCTTTCCCAGACGCGCCTCGGGTTAGTTTCGGTTTCCAGTTCCTCTTAAAAGAAAAACTGAAAGCGAAACCCGTCAGTGGAACTGAACTGGACCGCTCTTCCCTGAAGGGTGCTGTAGCCCCTCCCACTTTTCTTTGGAGACCAGTCCTTGTCTGCGCAAAGCTCTCCAGAACGGTGACCTTCCAAATGTGGTTTTGGGGGGTTGATACCTGTGAGTCCCTCAGCAATACCCTAGGGCGTCTTTTTTCTTTTCTTTTCTTTTTTTTAAGTATTTTTTATTGTTAATAGTGTTACAGATACCACCCGTCCCGCCCCACCCCCCTTTACCCCTTACTCTTATTCAGTCACCTTTGAACTTTTTTTTCCTGTTACTTTTTTTTTTTATTAAATCTTTATTGTTCCGATTATTACAGTTGTTCCTCTTTTTCCCCCCATAGCTCCCCTCTACCCAGTTCCCACCTCACCCTCTGCCTTTACCCCCCACCCACTGTCCTCATCCATAGGTGTACGATTTTTTTCCAGTCTCTTCCCGCACCCCCCACACCCCTTTCCCCCCGAGAATTGTCAGTCCACTCCCTTTCTATGCCCCTGATTCTATTATATTCACCAGTTTACTCTGTTCATCAGATTTTTTATTCACTTGATTTTTGGATTCACTTGTTGATAGATGTGTATTTGTTGTTCATAATTTTTATCTTTACCCTTTTCTTCTTCCTCTTCTTAAAGAATACCTTTCAGCATTTCATATAATACTGGTTTGGTGGTGATGAACTCCTTTAGCTCTTTCTTATCTGTGAAGCTCTTTATCTGACCTTCAATTCTGAATGATAGCTTTACTGGATAAAGTAATCTTGGTTGTAGGGTCTTGCTATTCATCACTTTGAATATTTCTTGCCACTCCCTTCTGGCCTGCATAGTTTCTGTTGAGAAATCAGCTGACAATCATATGGGTACTCCCTTGTAGGTAACTAACTGTTTTTCTCTTGCTGCTTTTAAGATTCTCTCTTTGTCTTTTGCTCTTGGCATTTTAATTATGATGTGTCTTGGTGTGGCCCTCTTTGGATTCCTTTTGTTTTGGGTTCTCTGTGCTTCCTGGACTTATAAGTCTATTTCTTTCACCAGGTAGGGGAAGTTTCCTGTCATTGTTTCTTCAAATAGGTTTTCAATATCTTGCTCTCTCTCATCTTCTGGCACCCCTATAATTCGGATGTTGGTGCGCTTGAAGCTGTCCCAGAGGCTCCTTACACTATCTTCATATTTTTGGATTCTTTTTGCTTTTTGCTTTTCTGGTTGGGTGTTTTTTGCTTCTTCATATTTCAAATCTTGGACTTGATTCTTGCGATCCTCTTGTCTGCTGTTGGAACTCTGTATATTATTCTTTATTTCAGTCAGTGTATGCTTAATTTCTAGTTGGTCTTTTTTCATATCCTCGAGGTTCTCACTAAATTTATCAGTGGTTTCTAGAAAATTCTTGAAAAATCTTATAACCATGATTTTGAACTCTATGTCCAGTAGTTTGCTTTCCTCCATTTCTGTCATTTGTGACCTGTTTCTTTGTCTCCGCATTTTTTACGCTTCCCTGTGTTGGTAGAGTGGCTTTGTGTGCTGGGTGTCCTATAGGGCCCAGTGGCTCAGACTCCCCAATTACATGAGATGGACACTCTTGGTGCACCCCTTTGTGGGCTGTGTGCACAGTCTTGTTGTAGTTAAGCCTTGATTGTTGTTGTTATCACTGGTAGGAATTGACCTCCAGGCCAATTGTCTGTGAGAATCAGCTGTGTCCACAGTGGAGAACTTATGTGCTGAAGACACCCTTCTAGGGCAAGACTTGCTTCAGTGGGGCTTTGGTGTTCACTGAGTCTTCCCCCTGAGTGTGTCCTTTATGGATCTGAGGAGTTGTAATCTGGATGGTCCCACTCTGACCACTGGCTACACTGGCTCTTGGATCTCTAAGGAGGTGCTAATTTAGCCTCTGCCTGAGGCTACCCAGCAGGAGCTACAGAGAGATCTGCAGATTCCTCTTCCTTATTTAGAGTTTGGAGGTGCCCAGATGAGGCCCAGCTGTGAAGCAATGCAAGCTGCTGTGGGGCCTTGAGCCTTCTTTTGGATGTTCTGGGTCTCTCTGACCCAGCTGCAGTTTGTTAGGTAATTTTAGATCTCAAAGGGCCAGGCCTTTCGTATGCAAAAGCCTCTGCGCACAGCTTGGGTGGGGCGGGGTCTCAGGGAATCAACAGGGCTGAGCAAACAGGTATGGCTGATCCTCAGTCCTGCCCTAAGAGGTCCCGGGTCTCAGTGTCCCGCGGTAATCGCTGCAAGCACCTATGAGAGAAAGCCACCCTCGAGTTCCGCCCGATGCCAGATAGTCCAGTTTCTCCCCGTATGAGTCTGGGTCCCCAGAGACTCGCCTGGAACTGGAGTTCAGAGCAGTTGGGAGGTTGAGACTCTCTCCCGATTGAAAAAGACACTGGCGTCCTCCGTTGCCAGCCCTTTCCACATGCAGCTCCATACCTCTGCACTTTACTTCCGCACCTCCTCTGAGTCTCAGTGTGCTTTTCTCTTTCCTTCTAGTTGTAGAATTTCCACTCAGCCAGCCTACCTGTGGTTCTGGATGATGTCTGTTTTGTCTTTTAATTGTAGTTTTGAAGCGGTTGTGCGAGGCAGCAATTTCAGGTGTTTGCCTATGCCGCCATCTTGGTTTCTCCCAGAAATTATGGACATCTTTTTTCTTAAAATTAAAAATATATGTAATAGCATTTTTACCATTACTAATTGTTGTTGAAACACAGGGGAAGAACTAGCCAATAGTTCCAATACCCAAAGACAACTGCTAATATTTTGTTGCATTGCCTTTTTGCTTTTTTTATATATTATGTATTTAATCTTTAAAATCATGTCATTATACAGTTTTGTAAACCCAGTATTTATATAATTCTGTTAAATTGCATTTTCACCGAACATAGTATCATGAACTTATTGACTTTTTATTACATATTTTTGAAAATACACTTCAAATTGTAGCATAACATTCCAGGCTCTTAAATTATTCTCCTTTTGTTGACATTAGTATTTTTTTTTCATTAGGGGCTTTTATAAATAATATTATGATTGGCATTACTATAGATATTATTTGATGAAGTTTCTAATTCCTTACTAAGAATAAATTCTAAGCGTTGTGTCTGGGAGGAAAAACATTTCCTGTACCTTCTTAATCAGGAGGATCTGCAAACTTAGACAAGAGAAGAAGCATACAATTTTATCAACAGTTTTGGTGCACAGGAGTTCACAGAAAATAAGTTAAACTCAAGAAGTCCTGAGATTCAGGGACTTATATACAATTTTAAAAAAAATAGTGCGTTTGGGCTTTGAGGGATCATCAGTTGTGGGGAAGTGACTTGGAAGTATATGGGGGGAACTAATGGAAGGCAAAGGTTAATTTAGTAAGGGTTGTTTATACAGACTCTTCTCAATGCCAGCTCCGGTGATGAGTCACTCTTGCTGGGGGACACCTTCACAAGGAAAAATGTATGCCTGCTGTTAGGTGGGTAAGGGGAGGGAAGAGAACGCTTCCTGCATCTGTTGATTTGCTATTGCCTTCTGCTCAGAACAATCCTTATGCCACAGCGGCACATTTTGGGATGGCACATCTTGATTCCCTTCAGGTGGAAATGAAGGGTATCATGATACTTAATGATACTTCCAGTTCTTCCGGAAGGTGGTCTGATTCGGGTTGTTTTCCTGAGTAGGATGCAAGGGTAATTCTTTCTCCGGTCCTTGTCCAGATGGGTTCAAAGAATGAAGCCACTGGACAAAAGGTGGTAGATGAAAGGGTGGAAATTTATTGGAAGCAAATACAGACTCCCACTAGTAGGAAGGGGATTCCAAGGGGGTAACCCACTAAGCTCCTTTTTTCTAAGGTTTATAAAGGCTGCAGTTCTTGGTTTCTTCATACTGCCTTCTAATTGGTCACTCTTTTGCAGAATATCAGCTTCAAACCCTAAAACCCCATGTGGTGACCCTTTATCTCTCCCCCTTCAGTGGTAGAATTCTGTCCCAAGTAGATCCTGGGTAAGGATCTGGGGTGTTTATCTAAGGTGTCCCTTGAAATAAACTTTAACCGTGCAGATGTGGTACATTCAAGTAGTTGCTAGCGAAGAGGCTACTCTACACAAGCAGGACCAAGGGCAGGCCTAGGACTGAAAAGACCAGAAGCTTTAATTTTAATTTTGAGCGTATGCAAAATAATTCTGTTAACTGCTGGAGGAATTACAGCACATGAAACATACGCAGTTGCAAATCACACAGCACTTTATTACTCACACAAGTTCCTGATGCTGTGGGTACAGGCTTAATGGGGATCCCGGTGGTGCTGTTCTCTGGGGTCCGGCAGCTGGGCTGGTCCAGTCTGGATGCAGGGGGCCAGCATTCCTCACTCGAGAGCTCAGTTGCATCTTGATCGAGAGGTACTGGCCGTTCTTCTGTCGTCTGGCAAGAAAAGAAACATGGAATGGCGTTGCTTGCCGGACTGACAGGAGGACATGCCTTTGTGGCTGTCTCAACAGG